AGTTTGTGTGAGGGTCTTTGTCTTATGCTCGAGGTTGCAAACTGCTGTAGTCAATACACGCTCTCCAGAGAACAGACTGTTCTTGTCTGAGGTTTTATGACTTCAGAGCTGCGACCTCAAGGGTGATATGACGTCTGGTGCCACCCGCACGGGCTCATGTTCGTCACCGTTGTGTCTCTGGGACACACGTCCGTGCAGAACAAGGGGCGCTGCGGCAGGGTGGCAGATCGAGGACGAGGTCTTCCTCAGCGTGCTCGTGGAGCTGGAGGTGCTCCGCACAGAAGAGGAGCAGGTGTTTCTGCTCCGTGCCTTGGCCTTCGTCTTACCCCAGTGTTGGGGGTGAATGCTCCTACGTATCTAGGCGGCTGAGCTTGCTATGCACCAGGCCCTGTCACTGGCTTACCAAGGGGATATTTGGTCTCATTTTAGACCCTCTTCTCTTGCCTCTGGCTTCAAGTTTCCAGCAACGCTTTGTACGGTGCCATCGGTCCTTGGCAGGACAGAGGTGCCAGCTGCAGTTGGCAAACTGAGCCGTGCTAAGGCTTTTTAGCCATAGTCCAGGCCTTCCCTGAACTAAGCGACAAAATTGAACACTGCGGCTTCTGTGGCCTTGGGGCCTGGATGCTTCTCAGGTGCTCGACCAACACAGCTGCTCTGAGTCCCTCAGAGGACAAGGTTAAATTGGCCCATTGACCTTTGGGGACCCATTGAACTCCTGCAAGGTGTTAAGTGCTCATGTAGCAGAAAGCCCCCTTTTCCTCTTGCCCGCATTTGCTCTCCCCTCTTTAAATGTTTTTCCTCTTCTACCTTTTCTTCCTTCCTCTCTCTTTCACTTTAAGATAAGGAATTGTGTTTTAACATTTGTACGTGTGCATTTTGTATCTCCCCTTGTATTTTGGTATTTTTATTTATTTGTGTGCCACGGCATTTGTAGCTTATATTTTATACTCCTCACCTTTCAACTTTCAACTGAATGTATTTAGTTTCATAAGTAAGTTATACATTGTAACAATGTTAACAAGGGCAGGAGTTAAACTGCCCTTCCCTGTATCGGGCGGTCCCCTGGAAGAGTGAGTGAATCAGTGATTGAATGTGTAACACTGTAGCAGCAGGCAGCAATTAACACCTGGAAGCTGCAGATCAGCCAAGGGAAGAACTCAATAGAAGACAATGTAACAACCAGGAAATCTCTAAACGTCACTGATCAAGGGCTAGAAGCCCTGGTCTGAGTTAATCAACGCCGGGGACCAACTTTTGGGCTGAATATCTCCAGATCGACTGCTCCCAGAGCCCTATTCAAAATTCATCAACGGATTCCCAAACCTGCACGTACATGCGGACGACCCCTGGGGCTGACAGATGCCGTCCAGTAGCCACCGAGGGGGGGAAGTCCCACGAGGGTCAATGACCCCTGGATTGGGCAAACCTGAAAACTGGGGAGTCACCAAAGTCTGCCAGGGACAGATAAAAAGCAGTGAAAAGTGACCCTCAGGGGCGCCCTCTTGATCTCCAACTTGACCAGCACCCGACCTGTCCAGCCAGAAGGAAGATAACACCACACTGAAAGAAGCCTCGACGACAGACTCCAGCGCTTGTAGGATAGGTATACCTGACTCTGTAGCCTGCTACTGTGTGTGTGCATGTGTGTGTGTGTGTATCTGTGTGTGTGTGTGTGTGTGTATGTGTGTGTGTGTGGGGACCAGCCCCAAGGTTTATGATTTAACTCATTACAGTGTTTTAATTTGCCTAATAAACCAGAATTTTAAGGATCCCGAGTTGGACATTTGTAGCCAACACTTGGAGCAGAGCCCACCCGACTGGGCAGCAGGGTCTGGCTTCTCCACACTGGGCTTGGCACCGCAGTTGTGGGGGAAGCCCTGTTTTTAACAGCAAAGAAAACCGTGCTTGGCAGCCCCATGACGTGGGCAGTCGGTTATTAAATCCATGCATTAACCCCGAACCCCGAACTAGGGGACCAGGACACACCTTTCACCCGCGCAGGTCGTGTTTATTCCATTGAGTGGTTCTGCGACACCACTCACAGCGTTAAGCCCAAGTGAGGTGACCAGCACTCAACAGCATGCGGCACCGTGCGGGAGTCTGTAGCGCCGAGGGGTCAGGGTGCACCGCACCGCATTATCCCCCCGAACGGAGAAGGGGGCACGGACAGCACGCACCAATCGATCTCCACAAGAGCCCAGGATCACCCCGCTCTGCAACCCCCCGACACACCCGGGGGCCCTTGGCACAGCACCACACCAAGTGAAGCAGGAGAGACAACCACAGATGGGTTTGTTTGATTTCTTTAATTAATAAAATGATAGTAAGATGTCAGCAGAAGAGTGACTCATGTCGAGCTGTGCAGCTGCACCTGCTGTCCTCAAGCACCCATCACACACAAATACCTGCAAATTGTAGCAACACGTGGTGGACAAGGGGGTGCACCACATGTCATTAGGTGAATTGCCCTGTACACATAACAGATTCATGCAGGGGTGGGGAAAATACAGCCCGCAGGCCGGATCCAGGCTGCCTGCTGACTGGATGCAGCCTGCAGGCAGGCACCCACCTGCTCCACGTGAAAACCATGAAAGCTCAGACAGTGTCTCCTGCATAAAAATGGCTGGGGCAAGACTGGGTTGTGGGGACAAGACTGCCACCAGAAAATCCAACTCCGCTAATGGCTTGCAACCCATTAGGCGTCGAGACAGTGGAGTGCTTGTGGTACCCCACACCAGGCCCAGGCCATGAAATAATAAGTGATGGTTAAAATTGCTGGCAGAGACCTGACAGGCTCATCGCATGTGTATTGCCAGACGAAGAAAGCCAGGGGAAAGGCTGAGCCAGTGAAGCAAGGAAACTACATCTGCATTTCAATTGACCTAGCAGCTAAAGGAAACAAGACTAAATTTGCATCTCAAGAGAAACCTGTAAAGGGTGCAGGAAGGATGCCCGGGACGGGACAAATGCATCTTGCTCACATTTGTCCAAGCAGGCATCCAGCCCAAGGCGTTACAAATGTCTCACCTGTTCAGTGTCTGCCTGGACTTTGGGAATGAGACCATCACCGGGACAAGCTACTGCAGATTTGCCCCATTTAAAACAAATCCCCAAAGACAGGTCGGTGCCCAAAGCCTCTACACTTCGTGTCTGACCGCTCAGACCCATCACCTGTACCTCGCCTAGCAGTGCTGGGGCTGCGAGAAGCACAAGTCTTCACATCTGGACAGATCCAAACAGGAGCCAGGAAAGTAACAGTTGTAATGCGATGGTCACCCTTTTCCTCCCTGTTTTGTTCAGACTGTAATGGGCCAGCCGTCAAGGACAAATGCTTCTAAGCTAGACAATGAAACAGTATACAGCAAGACTGAAGCGCCAGCCAGGCGTGTGCAGTCCAGGGAAGACCAGGCCCCATCCTGCGCCCAGCCGATACGCGAGGGACCCACGCTGCGAGGCTGGACAAGAACGGTTTCCTGCTGCATCGGGTAAAGATCCCTGCAGGTGAGATATTACAAGGACTAATAGCTCATTTTATATTGGGAAAGAGACTTTTTCTGTCACTCAGTTTTGCAACTCGTTGGTAGTTATTAAAACAAACCTTTCTGCTCTTCATCAGCCGAGTGTTGTGTCACTTCTCAGAGCACTAGGTTTAAAAACCCACCTTCCAATGTCACACCCAGCAGTCCCACACACCCCACAGCTCTACTGCACCCACACACCCCTCCTGCACCCCCTGCTGCACCTGCACCATTCCCACACCCCACACACTCACCCCACCTTCCACACACAATATACAAGCAACCCCACCCCCAGCAGGAGTACTTCCTGGGCAAGGGGAGAGATGTCCAGGGGCAAATATCCGGGGTTAGGGGGCGCGACTTCAGTCACATGATGGCAACCAGAGGGCGGGGCGCCTGTCAAGGGGTGGGACTACGCTTGTGGCCCACAGCGCCTCACCAAAACTCATTAAGCAGCCCTCCAGCCAAAATAAGTGCCCCACCTGGGATTAATGGCTGCACCGTTCCTAGCTGCATCACAGGAAACTGAACTACATCAGGATGGGGTTTAGTTTGGGATGATGCAAAGTCATGTAAAACACTAAAAGCACACGTAAACATGAAGTGTGACTTGATTACGCCACAAAAAGGGACATTCTTTCACAGATATTTTGTCTGGTTGTCATGTGTACAAACTCCCTATGGTGATTTAGAGGCTGTGCTAGTGAGAAAAAGCACATCTTTTGTTAGTATTAAGCTTAGTACCTCATTGATTAATTTGTGTTTCCTGGTTCTGGTGTTGAGAGATGCAGTAAATCATAAATCCCTCTTCTCTTTCTCTGCCTCTGGCCTCTGCTTCCACTTTTGAAGGCTTAAATAGTCTGTACAACTGCGACCTCTGGACTCTGGGCATTTGTAGGGGTTTTGGTGGCCCTTCATGGTGTGCAATGCAGGAGAGAACTGAGTGGGTGATGCCGGTGTCCCTGGCTCCTGATGGGCTCAACAAAACAACCAAGATTTCAGCGAGCTTGGTGCAGCTGTTTCTGAGGTTTGCACATCTGGTGTCTCCCCAGGGGCTGGAGGAGTATCCAGGTGCTTGCTGGTTTTCTCAACAAGCGCAGAAGCCAGATGCCACGCCGAACTTCTCAACACTCATAAAATACTGCCCTGAGTTGAGCCCAGAATCATAAAAAGGGCTCAATCAATCAGAAAAGAAAGTAACTGTAAGAAGAAGACCGATGTCAAAAGCAAAGTTAGAAGTTGAGCAAGTGCACTGTTGGCACCTGCTGTAATTTGCACAGCAGAAAAGTTCATCAGACACTAGCAGTAACTAAGAAATCTAAGGTTTAATTTGAGGCCTGATAAATGAGCCTTTCTAGCCATGAGCACAGGATCACGGAAGGTCTTGGGTCCCGGTGACACGGGCTGAGGTTGAAAGTTGACACTCTGCCCCTCACGGCCTTGGACCCGTTATTTGTCCGTGATTTTCAGTGTCTCTTGTCTTCATTCAGTCAGCGTCTCCTGCATCTTGTTGACTTGCTCAATCACTTCCTCCAGTTTGGCGGCTGCCTCTCGCATCTTGGCCGCCAGCTCTGATTTGGTGTCTTTGAGCTCTAAGTAGTTCATGACTGTAGAGAAGATGTCTGGGTCTAGTCTGACGCTTGTCGGGACGTGCGAGGTTGTTGCCACATGTGTGACATGGCTGCTGGTGGTCTCTTGCACCTGGACTGAGAGGAGCTGCATGTACCGCCGGATTAGCCGCACCTCATCCAGGCACTGGCGCAGGAGCTTGAGGAACTCCTCCTGCTTATCCAGACTCTGCTTCATGGCCCGGGTGGTCGCTGCTTTGCTGGTCACAGTGCCTGCCGTGAGGACACCAAGCCCCGTGAAAGAGGCAGCCAGCGATGCCCCAAAGGTGAAGGGGGCGAGGCCAACCCCCAGAAGGGCACTGGCCACGCTTGTGAGGGCCGCTGCCTTTCCGGCACCTGTTGCTTTTGTGGCTTCTCTGTTAGCCTTGTCCACAGCGTCGGCAGTTGCCCGAAGATCTGCTATGTGCTTCTTCAGTCTGTCCCGGGCCCGGAGCAGCTCGTCCCTCAGTATTTCATCGATGTTCCTCGCTTCCAGTTTGCTAAAGGAGAAGAGAGAAAAGGGTTATTATTTCATAGGTCTAAATTGTCGGCTCCAGTATGATCCCATAATGCTCCTGTCGCTTCCCACTGTGATCCCACCATGCGCCCAGCGCCTTGCACGAGAGCTGTGTCCTTGTTACCCGAGGGTGTCTTTGGGTCACCACCCCGAGCTCAGCTTAGGCCCGTGGACACGGACACGGCCAGGCTGGAGCGGAGCGGTGGTGGGACGATGGGCCCGGGCAGCCTGCCTCTTCTAGGGGCCGGGGACACATGCGGCAGGATGGGGAAAGTCCCCCGAGGAAATAGCGGCCACGTGCCCCATAGTGCGGGGGTCTTGCCCCCCCCCAGACCGTGAGTCCTGCCCTGTCCTGAACCGGGGGAGGGGGGTTCACCCTACAATACTGTGTCCGTCTCCCGTACCCGAGCGTGTGGACATACCCATCCTCCTCATGCCCAGGGTAAAACTACGCTGGGCCAGGGCCAGGGCTGGGTCCATGTCACGGATTCATAGAATCAGAGGCATCATGGGAGAGACAAGCCAGGAGGCTGATACCATTGGGACCAGTGTTTGAACCACATCAGACCAAGATGACACAGTGGTGGGGAAGGGGCGGCCGTGGGCTGGGGCTGCTGGCTGGTTAATTAGCTGGGCATGTCCCCACTTTGACCGGTCCCCTGACATGGAAAGAACTGGGCACGACCTGCAAGGGCGCTGTATCCTGCAGGCACCGCGACTCCCAGGGAAACCCCCGCTCGACCGTGTCCCCTGGGGCTGGACGTTACTCACCTCCCGTTGTTCGGAGAAGTCAAAAACTCATCGGGCACGGCCCTCTCGCAGACGGAGTTCCTCGCTGTCTCCCCGCAGCAGGAGTATCTGCCCCAAATGTAGTAGCCCCCATGCCGCAGGGTCAGTTCAAACTCATACTGGATGTTGCTGGCATTTACCATCGCATTCGCCAGAGGAACATAATCTAGACTATTTGGGTCTGTCGAGCTATTTTTCACTATCAGCCCCTTGCAGGCAACAGAGATCCTGACTGGCTCGTAGGTGATGTCGTCTGCACCCAAGAAGTGCGAGGCCTCGTGGATTAAAGTCCCCCACTGCCACTTTTTCCTAAGATAACTCGGACCCTTCCAGAAGGGTGGGTACAGATAAATGGTTCTGTCTCCAGATTCTGTATAGACATACGCACGAGTCTTCTCCCTGGAAGGGTCCCCCATGAACTTGGCTGCCTCCAGCACCGAGATGAGGTCTCTCACCCGCTGCTCCGTCAGGACCCCGAACCGCTCCATCCAGAACTGGGGCCGTTCGGAGTCACAGGAAATCAGGTCCCGGGGCGTCTCCATGAGCACACGGTCCTTCTTCTTCAGGGCGTCTCTCAGGATCTCCAGCGCGCTCTGCCTCGCTGCTTCTGCGATTCTTGCCTTGTCCTCAGTCAGGGGGATGTGACTTTTCCCATCTTGTTCAGAAATGTGGCTTTTCCTTTGGTTTTCTTCCTTGCCGCACACGATGGTTTCCTGGGAGCTCATCTCTGCGCGGACGCTGCCTGCACGCTTCGGTCCCGAGCAGCTTTCCAGCGCAGCCCTGCAGAAGCACATGCAGTCTGTTTTTACCTCCCATTCCTCCCCCTCCCCGCCGCAGCTCCCCGCGCCCTCCCCCGGCTGCACGGCAGCACCGTCTTGGGGGAACAAGATGCCGTAAGGGCAGCCTGCCTTGTAGCGGGTCCCCTCGGCAGGCTGCATTCCCGGGGAGGAGGTTGGGAGGGTGCCCGGGGGAACAGGTCGTGTTGGACTAAGGACGCAGGCAGACAAGGCTCTTTCAATCATAAAAGTAGGGTCAGAAGGGACTTTGTAGATCTTCAGGTCCGACCCCCTGCCTGGGCAGGAGGAAACTGGGACCAAGTGACCCCAGCCAGGTAGGCATCGAGCCGCTTCTTAAAGACCCCCAGGGTAGGGGCCAGCACCACTTCCCGTGGAAGTCGGTTCCAGATCCTAGCCGCCCTGACTGTGAAGTAGTTCCTACGGATGTCTAATCTAAACCTACTCTCCAACAACTTGTGGCCATTATTCCTTGTTATCCCGGGGGGAGCTAGGGGAAACAAGGTCTCCCCCAGCCCCTTCTGGTCCCCCTAGTGAGTTTATAAACGGTCACCAGGTCCCCCCTCAGCCTTCTCTTGTGGAGGCTGAACAGGTTCAGGTCCCGTAGCCTCTACTCG